TGCTGGAGTTTTGTTACTATAGCTCTGTAGTAGGTTTAAAAATTGGGTGTTGTGGTGACTCTAGTGTTGATCTTTTTGCTCAAGATTGTTTTGTCTATTGAGGGTGCTTTATGTTTCCATATGAATTTTAGGATAGTTGTTTAGTTCTAGTTCTATGAAGAATTTCATTGGTATTTTGATGGGAATTGTGTTGATTGATCTGTAGATTGCTTTCAGCAATTTGGCCACTTTAACAATATTAATTATGCTGGCCCATGCAAATGGGAAGTCTTTCCATTTTCTAGTGTCTTCTTCAAAGTTCTATAATTTTTATTGTAAAGATCTTTTTTTCCCCCTTGGTTAGATTTATTCATGGATATTTTCTTTCTTCAAAGCTACTATGAGTAGAATTGTCTTCCTAATTTCTCAGTGAGTTATTTTTTCCCCATTGGTCAAAGAAACATTTATTACACCCAATCTCCAGAACACCATAGATTAGCAACACATTACACTGTAAATAATCTATTGTTTAGCATCATGGTTGTGTGGCAAGGATATGATATATCATATTTCAAGCTTGGAAAAAGATCAAATTTAAAATTTAAGTGCAATTTCTACTGAAAGTAAGTTGCATGAAACTTTAAGTTGAATTATCTTAAGTCAAGGGACCATCTGTATATCTTACTGACTTTGATGAAAACCTTCATTTCTCCCTATGCTGTTATGAATATACCTAGTCTTTCAACTTAAAATTCAGTGGAACCCCAAACACCTATAAAACTTTATTTTTTGATGTGCAGAAAAGCTATTAATTTTTGTGTGTTGATTTTGTTATCTGCTACTCTGCTGAGTTTGTTTATTAGATGTAGAAGTCTTTTGAAGGACACTGTAAGCTTTTCTAAGTTTAGGATCATATCATCTGCAAGTAGGGATAATTTGACTTCTCTTTTTTTCTATTTGGATCCCTTTATTTTTTTTATGGCCTATTTGCTCTGGCTAAAACAAAAGGTCTATATTGAATAGGGGTGGTGACAGTGACATCCTGTCTCATTCCTGATTTTAAAAGAAATGCTTTTTCCCCAGTTTGATGTTCCTGTGGATTTCTCTTATATAATCTTTATTATGTCAAAGTAAGGTACTTCCACACCTTGTTTCTTCAGGGCTTTTATCATAAAAGAATATTGAATTTTGTTAAAGGCTTTTTCTGCATCTATGAAGATGAATGAGAGTTTTATCCTTGATTGCATTCATGTGATATATTATATTTATTGATTAGCATATGTTGAACCATCCTTGCATTGCTGGAAGAAAACCAACTTGATCATGGTGTACAATTTTCTGAATGTACCAATTCAGTTTGGAAGTATTTTATTGAGGATGTTTGCATGTATGTTCACCAGGGATATTTGTCTGTAATGTGTTTGTGTGTGTGTGTGTGTGTGTGTGTGTGTGTGTGTGTGTGTGTATGTGTCTCTATATCTGGTTTTGGCATCAGGCTACTGGCTTCATAGAATGAGTTTGGAAGGATTCCTTCACTTTTTGTTTCATGGAATAGTTTGAGGTGCATTAGTGTTAGTTAGTCTTTCTTTAAAGACCTGGTAAAACTGTCCAGTCCTGGTCATTTCTTTGTTGGGAGACTTTTTAGTACAGCTTCAATCTCATTGCTTGCTGTTGAGTAACTTAGATTTTTTTTAAATATCCATTTGGCTTAATTTTGATAGATTGTATATGTCTAGAAATTTATCCATTTCTTTTATATTTTCTAATTTATTGGAATAGAAATTTTCAAAATAGTCCCTAATGATGCTTTGGAATTCAGTGGTATCTGTTGTAATATCTCCCTCTTTCATCTCTAATTTTATTAATGTTGGTCTTCTTTGTTTTCTTTTGATTGGCTTAGCTAAGGGTTAATCAATCTTGTTTATCTTTTCAAGAACCAACTGTTTCATTGATCCTTTAGGTTGTTCTTTTCTTCTCTATTTCATTAATGTAAGCTCTGATCATTATTTCTTTACTTATTCTGAGATTGGAGTTTGCTTTCTTCCTCTTTTTTAAAAAAATCTTTGTTTTGTTTGTTTGTTTATTTTTATGTGGTGCTGAGGATTGAACCCAAGGTCCCAGGGCCTCACACGTGTGAGGCAAGTGCTTTACCATAGAGCTACAATCTCAGCCTCTTGCTGTTTTTTTTTTTTTTTGACACTGAGATGCATCATTAGATTATTTAATTGTGATCTCTTTAATTTTTTAATGTAGGCATTCAGAGCTATAAAGTTTCCTCTCAGAACTGCCTTCATTGAATCCCAAAGCTGATGTTGTTCTTATATTTTTATTTGACTCTAATAATTTTTAAAATTATTCCCGATTTCTTCAATGACATACTAATCATTCAATCTCCATGGGTTTCTGTAGTTTCTTATGGTGTTTATTTCTAGTCTCATTCCATTATGACCTGATAAGAGTCAAGAAATTATTTTGATAATTTGTTAAGATTTTTTTGTGGCCCAAGGTATTGTCTGTTTTGAAGAAGGTTCCATGAGCTGATGGAAAAAAATATATATTCTGCTCCTATTAAATGGGATATTCTATGTATATATGTTAAGTCAATTTGCTTTACAGTATAATTTATTTCTGATATTTCTTTGTTGGTTTTTTGTCTAAATGACCTGTTTGTGAGTGTGGGGTATTGAAGCCTCCCACTATTATTGTATTGGGACCTATCTGTTCCTTCATAGTGAGTATGAAATTGGATGAACCCATGTCAATGCATAAATATTTACAACCATTATATCTTGTTGGTGAATTGTTCCCTTTACCAATATGTAGTGACCTTCTTTGTCTCTTCTAATTTTGGTTTTAAATCTTTGTCAGATATAAATGTAGTTATTTCAGCTTGTATTCAGATTCCATTTGCATGGAATATTATTTTTCATTCTTTTAGTTTTAGTCTGTTATATCTTTGAGATATGTTTCTTTCGGGCAACAAACAGTTGAGCCTCACTTTTAAATATAATCTGCCACTCTGTGTATTTTAATTGGAGAATTAAGGCCAATTTATATTGAGAGTTTTTATTGAAAGTTATGTACTATTTCCTGCCATTTTATCCTATTTCTAATGTTAGATTCTTTCCTATTTCTCAGCTACATATCTACTCTCCTTGTGAGATTTATTCTTTCTCTTGCTTTCCCCTCTCTGTTTATTATTCTTTTAAGTATCGTTGGCAATGCTGGCTTAGTGGCCATGAATTCCTTTAAGTTTTTGTTTATATTAAAAAGTTTTTATTTCTTCTTGCTTTCTAAAAGCTAACTTTGCTGTATATAGCAATCTAGGTTGATGATTATTTTCTCTCAGTGCTTGAAATACATCATTATGTGTCTTCCTGGCCTTTAGAGTTTCTGAAAACTCTCATATTATTCTGATGGGTTTGGTTTATAAATACTCAGTCTTTTTCTCTTGCATCTCTTAATACTCTTTCTGTCTTTATTCTGAATTCTTGGCATATGATGTGGAGAGTTTCTTTTCTGGTCATGTGTTTTTGGGTTTCTAAATGGCTCCAGTATCTGAGTATTCATTCCATTGCAATAATTAGGGAAAATTTCCACTATTATTTCACTGATTATATTTTTATTTCATTAGCCTCTATCTCTACTCATTTCTTATAACCTATGAGTATTAAAAATGTTTTTTATTGGTGCATATGGTTACATACACCAGTGGGGTTCATCTTGACATAATCATACATGTGTAGAACATAGTTTGCTTCCTTTCAATCCTTAGTACGTCCTCTTTTCCTCCCCTCCTCATTTCCCCCTTTTCCCTTCCTCTACTCCATGGTCATCCTTCTATTTGTTTGTGTTTTTAAATTGATGCTGGAATTCACTGTGTTATATTCATATACCACTATGTGTGTGTGTGTGTGTGTGTGTGTGTGTGTCTGTGTGTGTGTGTGTACACACACATAGCATCATTTGGTCAGTTTTATTCTACAGTTTTTCCTTCCTCCTTCCCCCTGAATCCCATTCCTATAGCTCTCTCATCTCCCTTCTCCTTTAATGAGGTCCTCCCACTTTTTCCTCTTTTATTTTGCTTTAGCTTCCACATAAGAGAGAAAACATTTCACCCTTGCCTTTCTGAATCTGGCTTATTTCACTTAGCAGGATGTTCTTCATTAACATCCATTTGCCAGCAAGCATCATAATTTTGTTCTCCCTATGGTCTACCCATATTCTGGATTGATTATCTCTTTTACTTTTATTCAGGGGACTATTTAGTAAGCTTTTTCTTCTTTGGTGCCTCAGATCAGGTTAATATCCAAGTTTTGATATTCCCTGTAGTTGTGTACTCTCTATTATTCCCCAGTATCAGCCCCACTTTGAGAGAAGCTACTAAACCTTATTAATTAAAATCACTTCAGAACAAAGCCCATGTTTACTAATGAATCATAGGAATAAAACTTATTGAAATGTTCTCCACAGTTCCTCTAATTCAGGCAAAAATATGGTAATGTTCTTGAATAGTTGAGAATTTAGTTATTAAAATAGTGAAATTACTATTGCACTATATAGGGATTGAAAAAGGGAAAAGAGAAAAATGGGCAAAGGGAAAAAAATAAAAGATAGAAAACTAATACAAACTATATTTGTATTAAAAGAAGAAAAACTTGCTGAGGGGATTTGAGGCAGAAGCATGTAATGCAAGAGGGAAAAGGGAGGCTAAGAATATTAAGTGCAAACCTGAGCTAGAAAAGAGAGAGAGAAAGATTGATTCCAGTTAATGCTTTGAAACACGAGAAAAATACAATCAAATGGCCCAAGAGCTTCAATGTCAAATAATAAGAGAACATCAAATGATTCAATATGAAAATATCTGTAGGATCAGAATTGAGATTAGTTAAAGGTATTTATGATAATCCATGCTGAGATGGAGAAACTTTTTAGTGAATCTTCTTATTTGGATTTCATCTGAATTTGGGACTTTTAGAAAATTCCCACCATTCCTTATCTTTACCATTCCTCAGTTTTACCTTTAAGTTTTTCTGGCTGTGGTGGTAGTCATCACACCATTTTTCTTCTGATCCAATTCAAAGGCCCCTTGCTAGTCTTTGGTGTGTCCAAGTATTACTGGCTTTTTGTTGGATCAGAGCAGATGGTCCCTAATTGTCTGTGGCTTAGCTTCCAAGTTACTCCTTGTTAGGGTGTATAGTCTCGTGTGCCCTCCTGAAGGGAAGCTCTTTGTATCCAGCACTAACAAATTCATGTGGGTTCCTCATGAATATTTCAGAGTGTGTAGGGTATGGCAGGTCTGAGATATTGTGATCTGTTTGATGTGGTGCTGGATGGTCTGTGGGGAGTCAGGGGCTGCTGTTCCCCTCTGGAGTACACAGGTTACAAGTTGGTGGGCTTCTTTTGGACACATTGAGTGATAGCTGATGTCTCTAAGAAGCTCCTCCATAAGCCCCTTTATGAGGTGTACTGCCATTGTGTATGCATGAAGTTTTCTGCTGACTGCTTAGGTTATCTACAGGATTGCCTTCTGGGGGTCCATGTATCTGCATGACAATTGAGTTAAGTGGGACTTACAACTGTGGGCCCTCTTAGAGGTATTTGGGCATAGGAGATACTTCCATAGTTGCAATAATTTTCTTACCAGCTGTTGCTTGTTCATCAGTCCAGCACCCTGCCTCAGATGCCCTCAGCACTCTGCTTGCTTGGAGGTTGTTGCGTTTGCAGGCTATTTCTGTTTAATGTAGGAGTGCAAAGTGCATGGCTGAGGGCTGTTGCTGCCTGCTGTGGGATGTTGAGTGCCCACTCCACTCCACAGGGGCTTCTTCATAGCAACATAGAGCTTCTAGTTGTCTGCAACAGTAGGGGCTGTGAATGCAGGCTTAGAAGCCTCTACCCTGCTGATGTATGTCACTGCAGTACCATTCTTATGACTAGGGCTCAGCTCATGACTGTGAATGACTTAGCACTTGTTCTGTTTGCTGGGATTTCTACATATCAGTGCTATCTAGGTGGTTGGCAGTTGTTTGCCAGTGTAGGGACTTTGGAAGCAGGCTCAGTGAGGGGGAGGGGGTGTCAGTAACCTTTAGGTAGCAGCAGACTCTCTATGTGGTCCTTCTAGACAGATTACTGAGACAATGTGTTTCAGGGGCTCTCTCTGGTTATATTTGTTTATTATTTGTAGGTGAGGAGAAGCTGGATTGGTCTTTTAGGGAGGCTGGTTAGCTACAGACTCAACAACATGGTTACCCTGCCTGGCACAGCTTTTCAACCCAGAATTTGGGTTAAATAGTATGATCTCCTTCACTGTTTCTGCTGCTCCTGCCCTGTTTTAACTTGGTCTGCTTTTCTTTCCAACTGTTATTAAGGAAGTAAGCTGAGTGGACTTTTCCTCTCCTTCTTTCTCTCTTTCCCCTAATCCCACCACGGTCAGAGTTCAGGGGCCTGATTTTCTGCTCCAGTAACCAAATTCCAAGTCTCAAACTGTCCAATATTTAGATTGCTTACTCTGGTCACCTCTCTGGTCAGCTGTTTTTTCCCTGCTTCATTTCTGGGCTGTGGAGAAGTTTCACTGCCTAGAATTGGCTCTGCCATCTTCTCTCCATCTCAGAATTTATGAGTTTTAAGTTAGGTCTTCTAAAATTGTCTCAGAGATCTTGGATATTATGTCCAGTGTCTCTTTATTTTTTTTCTTTATTACTGTCTGAATATTCTAGATAATCCACCTTGTTTTCAAGTCCTGAAATTCTCTTTTGCTTGAACTAGCCTATTGGTTAGTTTTTCTACTGCATTTTATTTGGTTTATTGAATTTTTTTCCTCCCAGATTTGTGATTTTTTTTCAATCTCTGTATCTATTGAATTTCTCATTCATACCTTTGTGGTCTTTCTTAATTCATTCAGTGCTTTTCTGCTTTGTTCTGTTGGAATTTATTGATTTTTTTAAAAAAAAATTCATTATTTTTAATTTTTTAATCTGGTAAAATATCTTTGGAGTGGGTTTTTGGTAAATTATGAACCTTAGGAAGGGTCATTTGCCCTTTTTTTAATCGAAATGGTATAGTCATAAATTATACAAAGCAAATATTTTAAAAATATGGTAAAATACAATTAATCTTGAGATGAGAAAATGGGAAAAGGAAAGCAAAAGAAAAGTTAGAGTATTCAAAGAGTGAAAGAGAGAAATCAAAGACAGAAAGTGATATGGGTACCAATCAGCCAATCTAAAAAAAAATTCTTAATGAAATATGAAAATCTGTCTCTATTGAGGTGATGGAAACTATAGACAAGAGCAGATGTTCACTAACTTTGCCTCTCTTTACTTCTTTTTGTGTCTTGTGCGGTACACTCTTTAATGCAAGCACCCTTCCTCTCTTGGTGTTGCTCTCCAGGCTGGCAACTGGAGTGACCTGAGACCAAAGCTGGTTAAAATGATTCTCATCTTATCTGCCCAACAGTACAAGTTAGCATGGAATGGGAAGTACCTTCTACTGCAATTTACTCCAGACAGATTTGATTGATGCACTCCCAGTGGGGCTGACCCAGAATTCTAAATGGAAAGTTCCAGGGGCTGATACTAAGCTCTGAACTGGACATTCTATGGGCAGGAGTTTACTTGACAGGTTAAATTGACACAACCCTAGGGCCAGGAACTCACAGGGCAAGGAAACCACCTGCTCTGGGGGGAGGGTGTCACAGCAGGTCTCATGCACTCCACTTTCCACAACTACAGCCTTCTGAGGCTCAGTTCCCACTTGCAATCATATGCATCCCCACATGCAATCACTGGGTCTGTTCCGTTTCCCAATCCTCTTCAGTCTGTGGCCTGAGCCTTCAGACTCAAAGGGAAAAAGGCTGAACTCTTATATTTAAGACCAGAATATTACTGCATGTAATCTTCTCTTTACCTGTTTCACTGGTTTTCTCCTGGGTCCACCCTGGGCCACTTGGTAGGAGCTAACCTGGACAGTGAGGAAATATTTGCTGTAATCTCCAGGCTCCCACAGCTGCAAACTCAGGTGTGATTCCCACAAGGTGGTTCCCTGCCACCATTCCCCACTCACAACTTGAGAAATACACATTTCTTCTTTTTTTATTAATTTTTATTTTTAAATTAGTTATCCATGACAGTAGAATGCATTTATGCACTTTGATATATCATACCTAGATGGGATATAATTTCTCATTTTTCTGAGTGTACATGTTGCAGAATCATATTGGTCATGCAGTCACATGTATACATACAGTAATCATGTCTGTTTCATTCTACTATCTTTCCTTCTCCTTTGTCCCCTCCCTTCACTTTCTCTACCTAATCTAAAGTAATGCTATTCTTTCTTAGTGCCCCCCCACCTTATTGTGAATTAGCATTTTAGAGAAAACATTCTGCCTTTGGTTTGTTGGGATTGGCTTATTTCGCTTAGTCTCGTACTCTCCAACCCTATCCATTTACTGGCAAATACCATAATCTCACTCTTCTTTAAAGCTGAGTAATATTCCATTGAGTATATTTATCACATTTTCTTTATCCATTCATCTATTGAAGGACACCTAGGTTGGTTCTATAGTTTACCTACTGTGAATTGAGCTGCTATAAACATTGACATGGCTACTGTAGTATGTTGATTTTAAGTCCTTTGGGTATAAACTGAGGAATGGGATAGCTGGGTCAAATGGTAGTTCCATTCCCAGTTTTCTGAGGAATCCCCATACTACTTTCCCTAGTGGTTGCACCAATTTGCAAGTTCACGAGCAATGTATGAGTGTACCTTTTTACCCACATCCTCGACAACACTTATTGTTTCCTATATTCTTAATGATTGCCATTCTGACAGGAATGAGATGAAATATTTATTTCTCTTATTGCTAGAGATGTTGTACACTTTTTCATATATTTATTGATCAATTGTATTTCTTCTTCTGTGAAGTGTCTGTTTAGTTCCTTAGCCCATTTATTGATTGGGTT